GCACAATTTCTCGTTTGCCTTCCCCAAAAACGATTTCCAATGTGCCCTTAAGAAACCTACTACCAAGCCCCGAACTGTGCTGTCTAGCGAGTAGGCTGGAAAGAGTTGCAGCCTATTATAAATCATCGGGATCAAATAACGTTTGCGTTGCTTCCTGGTTCACGTCAAGCGGTATCTGCTTGACGTGAACCAGAAATGAACCATTGCATGCGATTGAAGACGATTGAACTACTTCTCCTAACCGTCAATGATTGCATCGCACTGGCGTGGCTAAAAGGGATCAAAGTCGAAACATTATGAGAGGCTACTTCTCTTCTCGCCACTTGTAACAGAGTGGTCGTTGAAGATGCAGTGCCCATATTTAATACTTAGTCGCTCTGCCGTGGACTACGCGAATCGCAAAGTGGCAGCCGCACTTGACTGGACATACTTATGGAATACTACCTACCCCCTTTATGATAGTTGGTCTTCCTCTCACACGGCGATAATAATCCTTTTTTTGGCCGATAACAGCTCAGCGCCCAAGAGTATGAACGGACTAGTCGGTTGGCGTAACAGTAATAATATAGCTAAAAGCCCAGAACTCATAAGACGTTCACTTCTTTAAGGAGTATTTTTCTGCACGACTGTTGCGATAGCTGCAAACTCTCGACACTTGCTCTGCAGCATCAACTTTCGCAAAACCGCATTACATTACATCGTACAGAAATCGCATGCGACTGCATGCGGAATCATGGCGATTGCAGAATGTTGCTTTGTCGAGCTGAGTAGCAGCTACAGCACAGAAGTTAATACTACTACAGCTTAAGGCCATTGTCTAAGCGTACTAAGACGGACACAAAACTGAATGTATTTATTACAGTGATTTAACAAGCTTGTTGCAGTGCAGTTTGAAGAACATAGATTTCGAGTGAAAATCTATATATATCCATCCTATACTTAGCCTATTTTGCTACTAAAAGTACGATGAGAGCTCCCTTCAGTAACATGATAAGCTAACGTCTAATTGAATCGAGATCTCAGGACGACAGGGATCTCAGGAGAACTTATTATCTTAGATACTTAGATGGTCTGTCTTCACTTGTCGTGCAGGCCACAGCACTGTTTCCGTCCGTTTCTGTCTCTCGCTAGCGTTATCCACGATGTTGGTATTGAAGTGCGGCGGCGACGTTTGCCTGGTCCAAGTCCATTACTCGTTACCAGCTGAGAATTCAGTTGGTTCATCCGTACAACGAACACATCAGCCCATCTGGTCGGTGGCCTCCCTCAAGGACGTTTTACTTCGCGAGGGATCCATTCCAGAGTTCTTAATGTCCGTCTGTCCTCCTCATTATATGACCAGCCCATCGATGCTTTGCCTTAGAGACGTATTCCGCTGGATCGCG